GTGTGTGTGTGTGTGTGTGTGTGTGTGTGTGTGTGTGTGTGTGTGTGCGTGTGTGAGAGAGAGAGGGAGAGATTCACATAAAACATTTGCCCAGTGGCTATTTAAACTGAGTGGCTCTCCTGGCTTCACAAGTTGTCTAGCAACCCGAATGACAACCTTCTTTTTTCCTGAGTAAATATTTAAAAAAGCGACATCCTTTTTTCTTCTTCTTGCCTTCAGGTGAGCTGGCTGCAGGATTCTTCAGCTCAGACTTTAGTCACACACACAGGAAATAAAGGATTTAAAAATGTATCAGGGTTAGGGCGTGGAAAAGGACATGATTTATGAGATGTTATACATGAAGTCAGAGACTTCACTGTTAATGCCGGTTTAAAGGATAATCCGCTTTAAATTGTAGCTGTAATTAGCGTTTTATTTTGACAAACAACCCGGATGATGTCATAGTGATGTCATCAGGGTTATGGTTCAAGACTACACACATGTATTTAAAACTGAAAGTGTAGGCTAAGAAGGGGGGTCTGAGTTTGAAAGTTATTGAGTTGCATTATGGGAAATGTAGGAGACAGGTTTTTTTTGGAGCTTGACTAGCGACTACACAAAAATATACAAAATGGCTTTATTACAATTAACTCAGATTATCTAGATACGGGAAGTCTCAAAGCAGAAGGTTGTTTAAATAGAAACATTATGAAGAACTACTTAAATTACATTAACAGGATATAAATGTAAATTCAGTACGGGAACTGTCAAAGCAGAAGGTTGTTTAAATAGAAACATTATGGGATTAGATGTTGCTGTGTGGGGGGGGGGGGGGATCTTCTATCTCTGATGTGACGATCATAAAACCATGTGAGATTGTAAGTGTATTGAAACTAGTTAAATACACTGTATTGTTATTTGGACACAGATGGAAACAGCTGCACGAGGAGCTGAAACTATTAACGGAGAAAAAGGTGACAAGAAAGAATCAACAACAATTTTTGATCATCGATAAATTGTTTTATGTCATTTATCGAGAAAAAAATGCCATTCAGCATCTCAAATGTGAGGATTTGCTGTTTGACTGTCATTTATGTTTTTATAAATGGAATATGTTTGGGTTGGTTAAACAAGCAACATAATGACATGACGTAATAATCAAAAAAATAATCAATACAAGAATCAATATGTGAAATTATTGTTAGTTCCGGTTTTACAAGTCACTGATTGCAATATGGGACGTTCATTGAATTAACCTAAATTTAACCTCTTCAGTTTGGTATAATAACAAAACTAAAAAGCCAAATTGCAATAAAGTTTTTGATCGTTTATCATATTTAATTTGTTCATACAGGACATCGGGAACACATCAGCTTTCTGATATGTTGTAATGGGACTAAACAGCACATTGGAGATGTTTGAGCGCTACAAAGAAAACAAAACACAACAGTGCTTGAAAGTTAAACCGACAAAATAAAACTCACGGAGGTACTCTCACGCAGATCAGCTTCACGCTTTTCTGGGTCTTTAAAATCAGGTGTGGCTGCAATTACATCACACTGAAGTTAAAGAAAGCATAGCTGAACGGGGGTGGGGGGGGGCCTTCATGAGGTATTTGGGCGAGCTCTTCATCAGGTCTCTGAGGTGTTCTACAAGGACTCAAACTCATCAATCCTCTGCTTGGTGTTGCCCATGCGGATCTGACGCAGGGTCTTGTACTTGTCGCGGCCAACTCGACGGTTCTCGGCGTGGAGGAGGTCGTTCTGGGTCTTCTTGTTGTCGTCTCGGGCTTCTGCCAGCTCTGAGCTCAGGGCCTGTGGACGGAGGACATGTCACTCATTAAACCAGAGACTTTTACACTGTATTCACTTCACCAGATCAAATCTAAATGTGATATATTCTCACATTGGTACATTTCATCCGATTGTTTCAACGTACTTCACAAGACTTGAACTTGTGCTGTCGTTTACTTGAACTACTTTTCTATCAGTTATTGATTTCCTCAAATGTCCCACAATCAATTTGTCAGAATGACTGGCTCGTTTTCCAGAGAAAAAGCTTCCTCTTGTAATTCTTTACTTGATACTCAACTCATGTCTGGTGGCTTCCTGATCGACTGACAGACTAATGTCTCTTTGTGTGGTTGTTGATTACGGTGCAACATTTGTTCCTGTCAGATTTTAGACCACTGAAAATATTTTGAAGTTACAATCTGGAAGATCTCCGTTCGTCACTACGCTCCATTCACAAACACAATCATTTCCCCTCACAGAACATGGCCACTTCACAAAACCTGAACCCACCCTTTCAGTTATTTTGTAACATGAGTCAGCTAGTCGCGTTAACGACTGAGTGGGTGCTTCCGTTTGAAAAACCCAGAAAAGAGGGCAGATGGACCCACCCTTTAACTATGGATGATAAATAAATAAATGTTCTCTTTTGTGGGGTAGGGGATTGTGTCAATTCTTGTCTTATTTTTTGATCATCATGTATTTTGCAAATCAAATCAAATCTAATGTAACATGAGTTCCAGTGTATATTCGAATGGAAGAAGTATATAGAACAATTTACTTGAACTGTGGTTGATCAGGTTTTTATGCAAACTTTTATGCTACTTCAGTAGCTTGCTTTAGGTGGGTTGTATGCTGGGACCCTGAACTCACCAACAGCTGTTTCTGCAGGCGCTGGTTCTTCTCGGCCTCGGTAAGTCGCTCCTCCTCCTGGCGGTGGTCGTTGATGTCCTGAGTCTGCAGCTCGGCGCTGCAGGTGCTGTTCTCTTCGCTGTGCTCGTGGTCGCTCTCGCTGTCCGAGGAGGAGGAGGAGGAGGATGAGGAAGCAGGAGCCTCAACAGGAGCTTGAACAGGAGTTGAGATACTAGAACTCCTCACATTGTGCAGCTCCTCCTTCGTCTTCATCAGATTCTCCTCCACTTCCATAACCTGGGACGAAGAGGAGAGGTTTTGTTTAGTTTATTTGACAGGGACAGAACAAAACAGTGTTAATGAACCAGAGTTAGCCTGAAAGCACATCTTCATCTGTTGTCACTGGACAGATAAAGATGGATACATTAAAAAGGATATCAGCGTCTTTCACCATGTTGTAGTACAACATCTGATCTAAACATACAGACTATGAAGTAATGGCATGTATTGCGTATCAGTATGTCTGTGACCAGTTTATGGTCAAATGAAACTAGCAGGCAGAGCTGGACTCTGATCTCAGGTCTTAATTTCGCTTTTGAAAAACTGGTTTATGACGACTTGACTTTATCTTTTTCACGAATAGATGTAGGTTTTATTCATTTATTCAAGGATTCTAAGCTTCATTTGCCAAGTAATATATTTGATGAAATGCAACGCTGTGTACTAAAGGACTAGTGTGACAAATAAGGATTAGAAAATATAAATATAGGGTGTAAAATCTTGCATGTAAGTAAGTTCAAATATGAAACGTAGAGGGCAGTGCATGAGATTGTTATATGGTTAATTCATATGCATGTATATTTTTCTTCTAGTACCACAAGCTATTAAAGGGTCTTTCCCTTTAGAAAACTGAGTGTAAATGGCCTCCAGCCTTTATTGATGGGTCGGTCAATATCAATGTATTAATTAACTGGATGATAAGCTGTCACAATAACATTTCTGGAGAGCAGTACACAAACATTTCATAACAGGTTTACAGCACACTATGAGGTAATTGTACACAACTATAAGGGCATTTTAAGTGTTTTGTAATGTACATTATTTTGAGCCATTTTAAGACATATCTTGTTCTATTGTTGTATTTATTACAACTGTGTAGATTGACATTTATTATCTTTTCATACACCAGCATCCATTTACAGTAATTAACACTTATATCTGCATACCAAAACATTAAAGTGTGTTCTTAAACATTTAATAAGTATTTATATACTGCTCATAAATGCTTAAAATGAAGTGTTGCCCAATTTGCTCCGGTCTTAAACACATCCCAGATAGCCAGTGAACTAAATATAAATGAATCCTTTTTTGTACTAACAACACGGAAGATATAGAGAAAAGAAAATGCGTGATCGCAGAAAAAAAACACCAACTGAAAAGTTGATGAGCGGGAAAGAGAATGTTATGACATATTCCTGGTAATACCGTACAGGTACATCTTTTGATCAGATTTTGAAATGTCACCTTGATGTGCCATGACTCAGCCTCTTCCTCCTTGACTCTCTTGATCTCCTCCAGCAGAGTGATCTTGGCGCTGTACTCGGCCAGATCTGCAGACTGAGGGGGGGGGGGGGGCACAAACCAACAGTGTCGTTAAAAAGCCAGAGAATAGACACTCGGCAATCTGAACACGGTGTCATTTTATGAATGGATGAACAAAACCAAACAACCCGCGATTAAATAAATGTAGTGCTTCTCATTCCAGTGCGTTTACCTGAAGGCAATTTACAAATGAAGACTTCACATTTAACTTCCAATAAGCTCAGAAAATGTCATAAAAACATAAAAGTATCCTTGTTTTGCTCAGTGACATCATGGATATTTGATATTTTCTAAGGAGTTTTAAAGTGAGAAAGAGTCCAAAAGAACTTTCTCACGCTGCAAGAGAAACTAAATCCTAGAAAAATCCCCCAAACTAAAAGAAAGCATTAGTTCAAACTGCAA